TAGGCTAATTGTGCTAGCAGAGTGTTTAGAATAGCACATCAGCCATCTGCTCAAGCACTTTATCCTTAAAGATTCAGTGCTAGTTTATAGCTGAGGTCAGTGAAAATGTATTCTCCAGTAGGAACAGAATTATAAATATTTTGATAGAATCTCTTAGGAACCCACTGACCCACCCACCCACTGCCTCTTGGAAAGAGACATTTATGATTTTTCTAGACCCAGTTGGTTAATCCAATGCAAGTACTGAGCAAACCTGGTGCAGGAGGAAGAGTACACCTCCATGATTCTCTCATTTCCATAGCAGTCTTGTCCCTGTCATTTCTCAGGAAGAAAGTTCAACCAGTAACATTTGGCAAGGCAGTGCTCCAGCTACTTTTAGTATGTGTACTGCAAAGCAGCATCCAGGTTGTGATGGATACTAGCAGTTTTATTCTGAAATAGACTAAAAAACTGCTGTAGTAGGTAAGCAACAATCCTGAACATTAGTGTGGCAGCCAAGATGAAAAGACTGTGACCAGCTCTGTTGAATGCCACTCTGAAGATGCAGTGGTAGCAGAGAAATATTACTTCATCACTGTCACCACCAGTGTAGTTTCTAATATGGGCTCAACCATCTGGCAGCATTCACCTTTGGCCTATAGCCATTTGTGTTTGAGCAACTGACATGGTTGTCACAGTTTTCTGCAAAATGAGAGTTGAATTAGCTCTGTTCAGAAGGAGTGCACACTTAGGAATGATTGTGTCAATCATCCGAGTCACACATTCCCCAGGGCAAGGATGGAAATTTCATAAATTTCATTCTTGCAGTCAAGAATGAATCATTTTACCATGTTTGTCTTTGTGGAGAGAGACTTCTTGAAAACTGTGCAGTTTTTGAGAACTACTTGCAAATACAGACCTTTTCAGTCCACAGAAAACAGAATTTTCTGCGTAAAGATGTTCTTTTCTGTACAGAAAATAATGGTTTCTGGGCCTTTTCTTTTCTTTTCATCCTTTGTTATTTCTTTCTTTCTTAATCTCTTTTTGTGTTGAATGTATCCCAAGATATAAATATTCTCAATACTCCCCCCCCCCCCATATTCTCATCAGGGAATCCCAACACTTGAGAAACGAATTTTTCATCATGCAATATTTTTCAACATTATTTTCATCCCTACCATTTAGTATCCCAGAAAACAGCTTATAAATTTATCAAAGCCTCTTCTTGGGTAATAATCACTTGTCCTCTCTCTAAATATCATTCAACCTCCTGGGCATTTTGAACTGATTGGATTGCTCCTATAAATCAAAGATATCAATTTATTTAGTATAATATATATTATATTTTGATGTAAACAGAACACAGTTGAACATCTTTGTATAAGCTGCCATAGAAATTTTGAACTCAGAGGCAGATTAGAATATATCAGTTTTGGGGCTGGGGGAATTGGTAATTTGGAACAAAAAAAAAAAGATATTGTGTGAACAGGGCTCCTTACTGACATGAGTTGCAGAGTTTTAAGAATCTACATCCACATCAAAAGTCAAATCCATGGGTCAAGCAAGCCGAGTGTATGTTCTGTTGGCCTC